TTGATATATGTAGAAGATATCTCCGCGATTGGAGAGCCTTCTAATTCCATTTCCTAATCCTCGCAATTCCTATCCGCTTCTCTACTTCGCTTAGACCTTTCAGCATCGTCTCCGCTTCAGTGATATTTCTCGAGAAGAGAACAGTGCGTCCGCAATAGGAAAGTTCAGGGGGAATCTCCTATCAACTCGTACACCTCTCTCCAATACAGTGATTTCACCACCCACTGCAAAGCGGTGGTGAACAGCTTTGGCGACACGGTATCGCCTTGTCGAACCCCTTTCGAAATTCGTATGTAAAAAGGACGCAGTTCTTGTAGCAGTCGGCCAGTCTCCCCACGTAAGATGGATACACGCCATAGTCAACGAGCGCTGACAGTATAGAATCATCTCGACGCTGTGAAATACCATAATCGACGAAGGTCAAAACGAGAGGTAGGCGGTACTCTCGGCAAACTTAGATGGTCCTCGAAACCGTCTGGATGTGATCCACGCAGTGAATCTCTTGCAAAATCCAGCTTGCTCTCCAAATTGGGCTTCATCCAGTGTCCTTGATATGCAAGTTAGAATAATCTTCATGAAGAGCTTGGTACGCTCAGCGGGCATAATGGATGGTAGTTCCGAAGACCCTCCCTATCGGCCTCTTATGAAGGAGGCTTGTTGGAGAGATTTTCCAATGGCCGGGGATCTTTTCGTTTTAGTATCACGTGTAGGCGTCCTCCAGCTCGTAGACGCGTGCTTAAGCAGGTAGAGAATCCATGGTGGTATTTCTCCAGCGAGGGTAAGAAGTTTGACGCGGGTGTTGTTGAGCGGAAATCGGTGTAAAATCTCTTTGTGAGCAATCCATCTTCTGTCAGGAAATATGCGAACCCCCTTCGTTCAGTAATATTGTCAATGGAATACGTAGTTGAGAAGGTTTCTGCGGCACTTCTTTATTCTCCTTCCTTGGGCTGCTCAAAAATTTCGATTGCTTCTGCTGAAAATCTTTTTGCAAAGCTGTTCTGCAACTGTTATTGGTTACCAGTCGCTCGAGATGTGATGCAGTCGGACAGCTTCAGTGCTTTCCTCTTCTCAATCAAATTACTTCTTCTTATTCGGGACATTGAGGCACTTTCAACATAGGCTCTCAGTCTTCAGTGAGGCAGGTTGTAGCTTTGGGTCCTCTCGAGTGCGGGTCACAAATGGTCCGGAGTCAGGAGCTAATCTAGTTTGACGCCGCCGCCGTCATATACGGCTTCTCTCCTTCCGCTAACACGGTGATAGAGCTTCCCTAGCTTTTGGCTTTTGAATCTAATTTTTGCTCGAAGGAATGGTCTAAAACTGTTAAAAGATGGTACCATTGAGAAGAATGTGCTCGATCTCCATATCGTACCGTTGGGTGACTCCCTGTCCAGCTGTTCTTTCTTCTTGAAGATGGATTTGCCATAAAAAAAAGTCGTGCGGCAAATGAGAGCCCAATAAGACAGTTACCACTCTCATTCCGGCCTGATCCAAATCTCCCGATCCTATGCTCCCCTTCTTCTGACATTCCGATTTTCGCATCAAAGTTACCCACGACAAATTTGTAGAAGGACTTCTCTTAGCGGATGACTTCCTCCGAATTCTCGCAAAAGGCATCTAGTTGTGAGTTATCACCTGAAGTTGGAGAATAGTAGTGGATGATGGTGATGGTGATGTAGAGGACGGAGTCGAGGGGTAACCAGGCAAAGTGATAGGATCTCATGCGAATCGACAAAATGGACAGTAGACGGTCGACAAATCCAACGCCTCCAGCGTTCCGCGATGGAACTTTCTCATCACAAATGGTGAGTGTGCCATCACTCAGATGTCTCACGTCCATCTTCCTAAACTTTGTTTCATGCAAGTCGATTACTAGGGCTTGAAAATCGGCGATGGTGGAGAATATTATGGGTGCAGAGCAGACAATCGTTGGTCGTTGACGTGCCTTTTCAGTCCGAAATCCATGGCGCCCTGTGCACCCTGGTCTTGATGACCCGAGGGAGATGTGATCTAGTGCGCAGGGCTTTTCCTCCTTTTATATGGTGTACAAGCAACAGAATCTTTCCCCAACTTAGCAGCCTTTACAGCACCTGCCAAGCTTTAATATCTAATGTATACTAGACATCCAATAGTGTCAAAAATATCTCTCCCGCTCCTTGGGGATTAAAAACCTCCGCTGCACTTAGCAGTGCAACACTCAGTTTTTTTCACAAGCTTGGGCGGTAGCACATCGTAGCGTATCTCTTAACTATATTATACGCTGGATGTAAACTGAGCAATCAAGATTTAAAGAATGAATGGAAATATCCCGGTATTTTTCTATTTGTCAAGGTTCCAAATGTGATGTCACGGATGAATGTCACGACTCACGCTCGTTCGATTCGGCTACATTCAGTTGACTGCAATTTAAGGTTATGAATTATTACAGATAAACGCGTTGCCAGAAGGACCACCAATACGCAGCGTTTTCCCTCGCGCGTTTTCACCACTGCTAAGCTGGGAAGTCACCGGAAGTCGTAGTGATGCTGTGAGTATAGCTTTTCATTATGAAGGTTAAAAAACGAAGTCTGTATGCTCTAGATCTCAAAGAAGCTGGCTGAGGATTTAGTAGCTCCACAAAGTTTGGACTCTTCCACGGTTCAGGAAGGCCTTGTAAATAAAGATCACGATACAGAATCGCAGGTATGTTTCGCTTGTCAGCATGACAACTGATCGTGATCCAATCGAAGTGAGCTCACGCGTGAACCATAACTGTGCCTTATCCGTGCGATTAACATGCAAATTCGGCTACGTCGTTTGGCTTGAGATTTTTAGCTAAGCGCTATTCTCTTGAGTTTAAATATTGCGAGGAGATGGAACTTTGATCGTCACCTGAAATATCCGTCTGAAGAGTCTGTGAGTACGCTATGCCAAAACAATTAAACTATCTGTTGGGCATATATGGGCTAAATTGCAACAAGCTAGACCAAGTAAATGAAAACCATCGAAAGCAGTCAAATTTTCTTTGCGTAAGCCTACGTTACGCTCCCTTTCCCCACGTAATATGCGTAAAATTTGATTCAGATTGGTTCAGAAACAGAATATCATACTGGTAATATGCACTCTTACAAACATACATACTACAGACATAAAATATAGATACACAAGTAGACACAAAAGTTTTCCAATTGTTTAATAATTACGCTTACTCGAAAAACTTCCATAGAGTATAAAAAGTGATCTTTTATACTGTTTAGAACCTTACTATGATTATGAATATTATGAATAGACCAACAAAAAGTGCTTCAGATAGACACGATGTTGGATGCACCAAAAATGCCCGACGCTCTCTCTCCTGCGTATTCGTCAAAACTGCCGTGGGAAATCACAGGACGCAACGAAGCTGTGAGTGTGACAAACATAGTTTATTCAAAGCCAGCGTCTCAGCCAGATGTTCTAGGAGTCCACACTTCCTGAAGGCCCTACAGACAGGGATCATGCCTCAAAGACACATGTGCGATTGTTTTACGTACTCTGAAAGTGATTTGTGGTAACTCAACCTTTTGAAATTCAGGTGGTGAGGCGAATAGTGTTAGGGACGAAATTATTATCGCCATCCAACGAAGATAATATGGAAAACAGATTAAATCCTATACAGAGTGTACCTGGGCAAGATGCTGTGCAACATACAGGTAAGTAAGGAATGAACTTGAGAGGCGATTCGTAGTTCATCTCTAATCTCTGGCAAACAAGCAGACATTGGAGGCCCTCCTTCTTACCCAAAATCGAGCGGAACCATTCACTCACCGTCGTCAGCGCAAGCGGATTTGGTTTGTTGGAAAGACTCTGCTTATTTTAAAATTTGGTTATTTTACTTTATACTTTCAAGTCCTGTTAAGGTTGCTTCAAATATTACTACTACGGCGCAGCCAGGTGGCGCATATCAACATCCGCAAGGTAGACGCCGTACGCAAAAAATGTTTTCTAATCTTTTTCTTAGCGTAAACATTTAAGGGAAAGAAGTCGATTTTCTGCCGAGTACTTCGTCAAAGGAATTATCACGCCCTTCGGTTTCAACAGAGTCTAACACTGACCTTGGTGATATAAAGATTACACCAATTGAAGCGCATGTACCTGCTGATTCGCCTAGTGAGGGAGACGTTGTTACACTTAGAGGAGAAGAAGAAAAAGGAGGAGAAGAGAGGGGAAGCTTACTAGAAGAAAGAAGTATAACAAACAACAAAGGATCTGACAAATCTGGGCAATCAAAGCAGAAGAAAGAGTTTGTCAGCGTGGAAGATGAAGGTGAAGCAGAGGAAAGCGCAGATAAAGAAAGGGACAGGCCTGGAAATACCTCTGCTGAAGCTAACGAAGACCCTGTCGATTTTATGTCAGAAAATGATGCGCTGCTACCGCATGACGGGCAGACGGATTCAAAACGAGCTGAATTAGACAATGCT